TCCAGGCTTGTGACAAGGAAACAGTCAATTAACTAGCTCCTCCGAAACAAAACAGACTTTTTTGTTCTGCGGTTCTCAGGATAATGAGCTTGATGTACATGCTTGAGAAGCCAAAACTGCCAAAAGCTTTTGCTGTTTTGCCCCAGCTGTCTGGGAATGGATATTTCCCCCACACCTGGGACATTCGCTGGTTAAGGACTTTTCCCATTAGCCCTCTTTCCCAAAGAAGTGCTAAGCCAGTCACAGCACTGCAGCAGATGCCCTCTCACCACCTCCTCCAGCTTTCTCTTGAGATTTTCTTCAATCCGTCATCCCTCGAGATTTGGCTATGGAGACCACAAAAAGGAAATCTAGCAAACTTTAAACTCATTTAGTTTTGATCTTAGCCAAAAGACCGTGCCAGAGTGTTCAACAGTAATAGTGTTAATTTGCTAGCCATGTAGATTCATAGACAGATGGAGCCTGGGAAAGTGGCTAATTTAGGTGATGAAGCTACCAAAAGTTAGAAAGCATAAATTCCCCCATTTTTGTTTTGCATATTCTGTTTCTAATTGGTCTTGCTTGTTGTAGATGGACATAAGATGTTGAGGAGGAAATAAAAAGAGATGATTCTCTGGCAAATAGATGGAAAAAAAAAAAAAGGAGTTTAGGGGAGAACAGAGTTTAGGTAACACCTTTTTATGGGGTGAGAAAAACCTGCATTGCATGAGCCGTGATGTGGGCATGCTGGGGAGGAAGGGAAAAGCCCTGAAGTGCCAGGGAGTGCTAAAACCAGAGGCAGGTTCTCTCTTTTCCAAGCTGCTCTGACCTCACTGTGACAAGGCTTGGGAGAAAGGAGGGAGGCAAAAAACAGAAAGGGAAAGCTAAATAAATAAATAAAGAGAACCTTTCCCTCGTCTCAAGCTGTGATCTCCGAATCCCCCTACTTGCTCCCAGGCAGCTTGCGTGGAGGTTCCTGCCAGGGCTCTAGTAGCAGCTGTTCTCCGAGGCACATTCCTGATGGCTTTCTCATTCCGACATCCTGGCAGAGTCAGCTTCTTCCCACCACTTTTAAGCCTGCCGCCCCTTGTAAAATTTTCTGGATATCAGAGCAGATCTTTTACTGGCTCTCGGGACCTACAAACATTAGTCAATCAAGTTCTTGTGGAAAAAAAAAAAAGCCACACACATCCACACATGTACCCATCCAGCAGGGAATCTTCTACCACCTTAAGAGTCTTATTCCTGTCTCAGAGTTTTTAAGGCCAAGAGACATGCTTTGGATTAAAAATGGCTGTAATAACAGCCGAGATCAGGGTTTCTGGGTGTTCAGGGCCATGCCAACATCCACTCATCTGTCTTGTCCCCAAAAGCTTATCATGTTAACATGTAAAATGGCAGACAGATGTATGAAAAGTATTTCGTGACCCATAGCCACAAAAGAGACTTGAGAGCAACCTTTGCTGCTCCTCAGCATCTGCTCGTTGCTTCATCAATCTCTGGATCTCAGCACTGCTTGTCTGCTGCGCAGCTGGATCACACCAAGTCTCTGAATCGCAGCTCAGGTGTTGCTATCGGGCTTTCTTACTGTGTTGCATATACACAACATCCCTGCATGAGAATCCCATTTTGCTAATCGCTGTGCAAGCACTGAACAAAAATAAGTTGGCCTGTCTCTCTTTCTGCTTCTTTCTCCTTCTCACCTCTTTGCTTTACCATGTGAAAGGTGAATTTACCTAAGCCTCGTTCGTTCTTTCTGGTACCTGAGTATTCATGTACCATAATCTCTTCCACGTGAAAAGCTGATAGCTCTGTTAAACTTTATTGGCAGGCCTCAGAGTCTGGCTGGTTGTGCAGCTGTCCAGCTAAGTGGAAGTTTGACACGTTGACAGCTAATAAAATTCTCAAGCTGGACAACAAGAGGGGGTGGTGTGGGGAGCAGTTCCAAGCTCCGGTTTCTCATCTGCTAGGAAGATCATGGGAGGGTGAGCAATATTTTTGCAAGGTCACTGCGGTGTCTGTGTGGTTGAGATGCAGGATTCCCGCATTCAGACTTCAACATACCCAAAGGTACTGAGCCTTTAAAAGGTTAATCCCAAATTGAGCATAGCCAGGGACGAGACTGCCACGGATTTCCAGAAGGATCAGAATTACAGTGCCAAACTCGTGCCCAGAGAGGCCACCAGTGGAAATTCCCACTGACTTGTTTTTGTGCAAGGCAATGTCTTGCCTCATGTGTCCACACTGATTGTCCAGTACTGAACAAATTCTTGCCCATCTGCAAGCTCCCATTTCCACCCCTTCAGAAAACAAGCTGTTGAATGCCAAGCATTCATGGATTTAAAAATTAAGTCTAAGAGCTAAGCAATTCACTTAGCTAATTTAATGGAAGCTTTGATTTTGATCTTGAAGGTGTTTTAGGTTTTTACACCAGTTTTTGCAATTATCTAACTGATGATGTCAAAGTTTTTATATGGAAAGAAAAGCCTAAATGGGATTCTGTGATAATTTTGAAACTTTTCTCTCTGGCATTTCTAGAGAAGGGACATTTTTCAAAACAACCCTTTTCTCATAAACAGTTTAGCTTTGTCAGTACGGTGTTATTTCAATAGGAAAATAGTTTTGTCAGGAAATTCTTGTCCAGGTGCACAAGCGACTTCTCAGAGCAATGCTAATGTCCAAAGAGACACCAGGTACATCAGTAATGGGTCTAGGGAGTTGAAACTAATCCTTCTCCTTAGATGATCTCATTCGTGGATCTGTTTGCCCAAATGTGTTGCATTTTTAAGGCTAGTTACCAACAAACCTCAGTGCTTATTTCTTTTTTTTTTACTTGAACAATACAAACAGAAAGGAATGTAAGGTAACAGAAAGGAATGTAAGGTAAAACAAAGCAATGCGTATGCCCAAATTGTCCTCAGGTCAGCACCGTAGTCCCAAGTCACTTAGGAATTTGTGCACTGAAAATGTTTTTTTCACAAATAGACCTCAGTGCATAGGTTCCCACACAAGCAGCTCACCTCCATTTTTCCTTGTGCTGACCAAGATGTGGCAGGCTCCAAACTATTATCTCATAAAGCTTTCCCAGAAATCTACCAAAATTGTTCCCAAAAAATAGATGGCAGCTTTTGCTTCTCAGCATCACCTGTGAGTGATTCAGATGGTCATACCACAGGCAGCTGGGTATAAGCACGCATACCACTAGCAAGTACATTAATCCCAGTTCCTATGGTTTGGGCAGTGGGTGCTTTCTAGAAATAAATAAGAAGCGCGAAGAGGTGGGTGCGTTGTGATGCTGATGTCTGTTATTAATCCCCAGGAAATTCCATGCACTGAGAAACCGTTATTTCAATAACAAAATTAAACTAGACAGCAGGAGTCGCAACCCAGTGCTTTATTGATCATTTTTATGATGGATACCATTGTGATTTCTGCCTGAGAGAAAATGGATGTTTCATTTAATAAAAAGGCTCAGAGCAATTCTGTCTCTGAAGTCTTGGTGCATTTCTAGGCTACTCACATAATACGTATTTTATGACACAGTTTCAAACTGTAGTAAACAAACAGCCATATTCTAGATCATGCTGCAGCAGCTCAGACTTGCCAAATGGAGCACCAGAAGAGAAATTCAATTTTGCTTGAAATTTTTCACAAAGCAATTCTGTTTTCCATGTAAAGAAGCAGAAAACCATCATTTACCAGCAGTACTCTGAAGTCTAGTTTCCAGAAAATACATGGATTTCTCAGGAACTCCTCAAATATCTCTGTTGTGGGCTAGTGGGGACCCCAGTGCTCTTTCACCAGCTGTCACTGTGGTCAAAGGTCTATCCTGTTCCCTGAGATGGTGCTTTGTGAAGCTGAAGGTATTATACGGAGGGACGGTATGGCGGTAAGCAGGCCTCCCCCAGCTCTGGGCATTAACTGGAGTCATGCAAAGCTGCTGGAGCCTAATGCTGTTTGCCCGGTGTTTTGCTTCCCAAACTCTTTGAGATGTGTCCAAACTGGCTCTTCTGAGGCAATCCCCCTCCCTTAAAGGTCAGCTGAGAATGTTTTCTTTCTTCCTGAGGGTCCGACTAGTTTACATTTCTTGTGAAGAGGGCTGCGATGAGGTTA